AGGGAGAATCCCTCGGTCCTTGCAGCCGGCACAGGGAGCCGGTGGTGCCGGGCTGCCCGGGGAGGAGTCAGGCAGAGCAGACAGCTCTGCCAGAGGGAAGGATGGAGACAAAACTCTCCTTGGCTCTTGCTCAATATGGCTGCATTCCCTTCCCCCCACCCCGGGCCAGGATTTGGCCGCCTTCTTTCGAAACGGAGAACAGCGGGCGAATCTCGGCACGTTTGCACAGTGCTTTCTGCTCCTGGAAACACCGGGGTCTGCACCCGCTGGCCCAAATCCCCCCACCCGGCTCCTTGCGCCGGCTATTTCCAGCTGCCCCCGTGATGCTCCGGAGCCAAGGGGTTGGCTGCGCAAAGCCCTTCTCGTGTCACCATCCGCTGCCGGGATTTCAGAAGGTGCGTTCCAGCGCTCTGGAGGAAGCGGAGCTTGGCTGTGAACGAAGACCTGGACCTGTGGAGCTCTTGAAGCACTGGTCTGCGGGTGGATCGCCTGCGCTGCACCTCTGGCTCCGGCACCGGGAGCCCTCGCTGCCCGGCGGGCAGGAGAGTCTGGCAGCATGGCAGACCCCCATCCAGGGTGCAGAGAGATGCTTTGAGCCACAGACAGGGCAGCACGAACCAACCGCACGCGCCTAACTCCCGGCCGCTTGCTGGCTGTGGCTGGTGCTGAATGAATGAATGAATCCCTTTGAGCGAAGAGCGGGGGCGTCTCCGAAATATAAAGGGCGGATTGGGGCAGAGGGGTGGTGAGGCTGTTGCTTCAGGGCAGGGGAAGGGCAGGGGGGGGGGGTCCTTCCACAAATACTTAAACCTCTTACTCACCAGACAAAATTGCGGTTGGTGATCTACAGATGCCAACTTCCTCTGTCCCCTGTGCCGGCTGCGACCCGTCCTTAACGCCGCCGGCCATGGAGGGAGGGAGAAAAACCCTTTAGGGCTGAGCTGGGGGTGAAGGGATGGAGGAGCTCTGGCGTTCGCTGCTTTGCCCCCCCTTTACTCTCTGCAGCTCTCACCTCGAGGGGAGGGCGGTTGGCAGGGGCTGGGACGGCTGCTGGCGCGGGGTGCGCCCCGCGAGTCCTTCCCTTCACCCACGAAGTCTCATTGTTTCCTCTGATCTTAATCGAGAGCTTTTGCACAGGTTCCCCGGGGCTTCCTACCGAGGAGGTGCGTATTGGCCTTCTGGAAAGGGGACGCTGCTCCCTGGCCGCCGCTACCCCTGGCATCGCTCGCTCCCTGTAGTCGGCTGTCCCAAACCGAAGCGTGCACAGAGGTTTACAAATTTTCTAAAGCTTTTGATAATGTGAAGCTCCTGGGTGATGAGGTTGGTGGTGAGCGCACTGCAGCTATGTAATTTTTTGTGTATGTATGTAATATTTAAGGGTAACAAAATTTAAAAGGCTAAAACCTTAAAGAAAAAAGAAAATAATTAAAAAAACACACAAAAAAAAAAAAAGCCAAAGCATGATGCATATTGTTAGCCTTAAAACTGGCTACACGACTGTGTGATGTACAAATGAGAGCAGCCTGTAACTGTTTTAAGTGCTGGGGGTTGGGGAAGAAGCATTACAAAATCAGTTTGTAGCCTTGATTCTGTACAGTATTTAATGAAAATGAAGAGGAAAAAAAAAAAAAAAAAAGACCTGACTATTGAGGCCATGCTTAGAGGTGTGTCGTTCACGTGCAGATGTGGATGCTTGGTTGCTTACGATATATGTATAAAGTGCTGTGTGACCATTAAAACTTTTTTTACCTGCAGAATTTTTTTTTTTTGTTTTGTTTTGTTTGGCTAACCAAGGTGTAATAAAGGAGGGAAGATGACTTGCCATTAAATTTTGCCTCTGTGAGTAGTTCTGACTGTTGTCTCTTTCTTTCCCCCGCCCTGCTGCCGCGCTGGGCACTTGCCCGCTCCCCGGCGCGCGTCGCTGCGCGGGGTCTGCGCTGGACGGGGTCCCGCTGGCTGAAGCCGACTGCGGAGGGGAGCGGAGCAGATCTGGCAGCGAGGGGGTGCCC